CGCCAAGAAACTAGACATACGCACAATCCTTACGTTACATTCATCCAAGGTCCTAAAACACACGCATGGCATTGGAACCGTACGCAAATCTACGCATGGTATAGATCTTGACTCTATAGGCCTACGCGCTCTGACGCTAATACAGGTGGATTGTATCTATCTATCTACACATATGAAACGACTCTCACCTTCCTTCAGTAAAAGTGAAAGTGAACTCGACCATATCGTATACAAGGGTGTGTAGAGTTAGACCAAATTCACATAATTCCCCAATTCGCGAATTTAAAAGAATTTCATCATTCACCATTTCACCGTTCAAAGAAATTTTTGTGGAACAGAATTTTCAATACTCTCTTTCGAGTATACTATTCTTGTATTCTACTTTTATTCTACTATTCTACTATAGGTTGTACTATTCTATTGTTGTAATATTCTACTACTAAACTATTCTACTATTATACTATATACTATTTATTTATCTACTATTCTTATATTCTACTATTCTACTATTCTACTATTCTACTATTGCACTATTCTCCTATTCTACTATTCTACTATTCTACTATTATACTTTTATACTATTGTACTATTCAACTATTTTACTATTCTACTATTTTACTATTCTACTATTCTACTATTCTACTATTCTCCTATTCTACTATTCTACTGTTCTACTATTATACTTTTATACTATTGTACTATTTAACTATTTTACTATTTTACTATTCTACTATTCTACTATTCTACTATTCTACAATTCTACTATTCTAACACTCTTCTATTCTACTATTCTAATATTCTACTATTATACTATTCTACTATTATACTATTCTACTATTCTTTTATTCTACTACTCTACTATTCTACTATTGTACTATTATACTATTCTACTATCGTATTGATCTACTATTCTTATATTCTACTATTCTACTATTTTACTATTCTACTATACTACTATTCTACTATTCTACTATTTTACTATATACTACTATTTTACACTACTATTCTACTACTCTACTATTCTACTATTATACTATTCTACTATTGTATTAATCTAATATTCTTATATTTTACTATTCTACTATTCTACTATTCTACTATTATAAATGACGACTTTCATTCCATTTACTACTTGTCTAGAGGTTTTTATCCCATTTTTATAAATATAAAAAAAAAGATTAGAATTGTTAGAAACAGGAAATATTTCAACTTAAAAACTTATCCAGTGAATGTATAATGTATATTTGGTAAAAATTCTTATTCTGTTCGTGAAAGGCGTATTCAGGGGGGCTATGGGGACTGGGCCCCCATAGGGATTTTGGGCACTAATTGGGACAAATTCCTGACTACGCCCCTGCTGTTTGTAAATGGTTAATGTTGGTGAGGGGTATATAGAGAAGATCATGGTTTAAACCATTTTCAACTTTCACCACCTCACTTTCCCTTTTACTATTTATTCCTCTACACATATATACACAGCGCGAGGGGGGGGTAGACATGGCGCCACGTTGTGGCGCCTTATATACGCATCCATCAGCGCTGACGCATTTATGACGCTTATATGACGCTAGATCACGTAATATGGTTTTTTAACCCCAGATCCAGGTAGCTGTTGACGCAGTGCACCTTGCTGTTGTAATTTACGCAGTGAAGTTGTACGCAAAGTTGTATCTGTTGTTAATGCTGACCCGAGAAGGCCAAATGTGCGCGTAAACGGATACTGAGTGGCGCCTGTGCACGCTAGAATTTTGATACAGGATACAAGCGCGCATATCTGGGTCATGCGAGCAGTGAAAGTGCGCGTGAAGGACATGGATTGACGTAAATATACGCATGTTTGGTGCGTATTTACTAGGCCCATATGTGCGTAAGAATCTAAAATAAAATGGACTCAACCAAAATCTTACACAAAGTAAACGCATAGGTTTAAAGGTTCATGTTTACGCTTAAACTAAGTACGTTCAGCTGTTTATTACAAAGTATACGACTTGAAAATGTAAAAAAAAATTATCTATCTATGTTTATTAATATTAAAATCTATAAACATAAAGTTTAGGGTAATGTTGAGGTATACTTCTATAAAGAAACTAGTTGAAGTGCCCGTTATTGCCCGTAGAATAAAAAAAACGTTTTTAAAAAATTCAATTTTAGAAAATAAATTTTTTTTGTTATATATTATGAATAAATTACAAAAATATAAACAATTTAAAATAGTTTTCAATATATAGCAAAGTCTATAGTCATATTATTGTTTTAATTGTAACCATTTATATATAGAATATATATAGAAATAGATTTACAATAACTACAATTGATATGATACAGTGAGGACCAGAAAACTCTGGAATAGGGAGACGACTTTCTGAACTCAAGACGTGACTTTGTAAATATGCCAAAAAACACGGGAAACAGGAAATTGTGCAGTGTAAACATGGGCATAAACAGGAATTTGACCAGGGCTGGTGGGGGTGGGGGCGCTACACTTTTTTTGCTTTCTTGAGGGGGTTAGCCCCAACAGCCTCCCCCCTGTGTACGCCTAGCCATGAGTGTAAACCATGCTCATAATCAGGCGCGTACACAGGAATTAAGCCAGGGGGGCAAGCTTTCGCGCAAAGCGCGAAAAAAAAATTTCCCCCCCTGGGCGTTTTTTGCCCCCCCCCTGGCCTTAAAAATGCTGTTATTCTATATTAAGTCTACTACATGTCCCCTAGGTGGCCCATTTAGTATTTAAGAACTATATATTACAATGTATCCCTCTGTTTAGTTCTGTGTTACTCTCTGAAGTCCTAAGTAGTCTCCTGAGACTACTCCCCTTTATAGTCCACTGTAGTCCCAATTCAAGGACTACATATTATAATGTATCTAATATCTATCTGTATATGTATTACCCTCTGAAGTCCTGAGTAGTTTCCTGAGACTATTCCCCTTTATAGTTCACTGTAGTCCCAATTCAAGGACTACATATTATAATGTATCTAATATCTATCTGTATATGTATTACCCTCTGAAGTCCTGAGTAGTTTCCTGAGACTATTCCCCTTTATAGTTCACTGTAGTCCCAATTCAAGGACTACATATTACAATGTATCCATTTGTATAGTTCTGTATTGCCCTCTGAAGTCCTGGGTAGTCCCATGAGACTATTCCCCTTTGTAGTCCCGATTCAAGGACTATGTATATTATAATGTATCCCTCTGTATAGTTCTCTAAAGCGCCAAGAAAATTTTCAACTATACTTTTTATGGGGGTATACACCCCTTTGATGATGAGGGCAAGCTCTTTTTTTTTACCCAGAACACCTGATTTTTACCTTTGCCCAAAAATCCCAGGGATGCCCCCCCCTGGGATGCCCAGGGGGGGAAAGAGGACTACTGCCCCCCTGTGTACGCTACTGCTCATAATAATTGTGATTTAATGAATAAAACTATTTGTTTTGTAACAACATCAAGTACACTTATGTATTGCATTAATGTCGTCTTTCTATTCCATAATTTTCTGGTTCTCAAAAGGAAAGTTTGTGTATTCAGAGAAATTTTTAGGAACATATTTTGGAAGACGACATTTAGTCTCTGCGTCTAATATCTACTTCGAGTTACCATGGTTACCCTTTATATCAAGCTTTCATAAATATTTCAGCTTTAGTTTTCATTCCACAAACTGGAATGAAAGAAAGCCGCTCCAGTTTATAATTAGTGTCACAGTTTCAGTTTAATACATTTTTTATTTCAAAGAAATATTTTTCAGGTTAAATCTATTTAAGTTTTAAATATAGATTAGACTATAATATTTAGTTTAGGTAATAAGTATAAACATTATAAAATAATTATACAAATCCATGAGTTTTGAAATTCTTTCGTTTCGTTTTTTAAGGGCATTCAAAGTAAATTTAAGTATTCATCATTAAGAAGTTTCATATGATTCACAAAAAGTGATGTGTCTTCAGTTGATTCGTTTTTTCCCTATTTTTTCTTTCTGGGTCAAAATTTGACACAGTTAAAAAAAAACAAATGTGTTTAAAATGTTTTATTTTAAACATTTGCGTTTCTTTTAGTTTTTGAATCTTTTTTATACTTTTTCTTTTTATAGGATAAAGATATTGCAACGTTTGATAAAAGCAACTATGTAGCTTTAACATAATACAGTTTGGAAATCTTGGAAGTATATTTAGTCATTTTTTCAACGATTAACAACACTATTCACAATGGTACCATTTAAACCTATGCCGAAACACAAAAATCATTATGTGGAGGACAGAATTACACGAAGCGCAAGAAATTTTTTCCCCTCCCCTAGAACTTTGAAAATGAGTTAAGTGATCTCAGTTTTAAAATTAGGAAAATAAAGTTTGTATTAATTCTTTGCTATGGCACTGCCATTCTCCTTTCTAAGGAAACGACGCCATTCTGACCCCCCCCCCATCCCCCCATGGTCCTCCCTAAGCCCCTTATGCCTCAAAGTCCATTGAAAACATCAGAACACATTTTCGGCATCACTATATCTGCAGATCATAGATTTATGAAAATAACAGATGGACTAGAAGTCGTCTGTTCATGATTTGGATGAAACTCAATCACAATAACCCTATGGCAGGCCCAGAGGAGTTACTCGCAGTCGGCGTAGAATCACAAGACAGAGAGAGCCTGTTCTACGCCGACTGTGCGAAACTCCTCTGGGCTTCTGCATCAGGGTTATTGTGAACGAGCTTCATTCAAATCTTTAAAAGACGACATCTAGTGTCCGATCTGTTATTTTAATTAATCTATGCTGCAGATATTGTTCTAAGTGAGTATACATGTTTAACTTTCATAGCTTCTTTAAATATATATAGCATATAGTGAATTATGTGTTCAATCATTAATTCTGAGGAATGGTAATTATTTTCTTAAAATAATTTAATGAATGATATTACACATTTTTCCATTTTTGACAAAATAACAGGAAAAAGTGTTCGTACGTATTGGGAAGTAAAACCAACAATAAAGTTTTTAATTTATAAGATAGAAACGTTTTCAGATGAATGAACTAAAAAGATGAGATGCCATTGACTACCTTGAGGTAAAAACTAATTTTATCCACAAAAAATGATTTTTTCCACAGTGAGAAATTGCATCAGCCAGAAATAAAGCAAATTGATTGTTGACTCCACTGTTTTATCGGGAAAAAATATCGTCAAAGTGGAGTTTAGATTTAAAATTCCATTTTTTTAAATACCTGTACAGTTAAACTACAAAATATACACAATGAGAACCAGAAATCTCTGGAAAAGCAAGATAACTTTCAGACTTAATTTATATTACTTTAAATAGACCAATAAATATGAGGCATATACCACACCATAGTTTCAGTAGAACATAGAGTAATAAAACGAAGAGGTAACAGATGAACATTGTACACAACCGACCTCCCTATTAATTAATTAATAGGGTGGTCGGTTGTGTACATCACAATATGTTACGTATCCAATGCTGTACACTTGTATGGAGCGTGATCGTATTTCTTTGTGGTAGTAAACTGTAGATAATTAAAAATTGGTATTGATAATTAGATAGAAACTTAATGTGGATTGTAAACATACGATTGTATACTGCAGTACATTCCAGTTCAGTTGTTTGTTTATGTTAATAAAAGTATAACCAAATTTTGCATCGTGAAAAGTGCGCAAACAATTCTTCTTGTAAAAATGTGAGTTTTTTCAAATTACCAAAACATTGTGATGGGTAGACCTTTTAAGGTTGGGAGACTCCAGAGTATATCCCTCAAGTTGTCTTGGCTCAAACCATTTTAAAGGAGATATTAGTCAGGGGAAAAGCCAAGTTTGAAGAAAAATGCAATTATCATAAAGAAACACAGAAAGTCTATTAGAGGGAGTGTCCGGCTGAATTCAGTAGTTCAGCTATGATGTTTTATGCTTTTATAAGAGTTACAAGATTTTTGGAAAAATTATATTATTTTGTAATTTTTTAGGAACCATTCGGTATCCTTCGATATTAGCCCAACAAACATCCAGGTATATTTTTTAAATTATAGAGACTGCATCAAGAGCGAAGACGTTTCGATTCACAACAATACCCTTGAATCCTTTGTATATTCAAACGTTAATTATGTAACTGTAAAAGTCACTTGCGGACTTTTCTCGATCAAAAAAATTACAAAATTTACAAAAAATTACTCGAACATAAGGATTTAAATTACTTGAAAATACGTCTAGATTCCAGGGGTCCCATTTGGGATTGACAAATTTGAAAGAAATGGGGGAACATTTTTTTAAAATGATAATTTAAAAAGAAATGGGGGCATTTTTATTTAGTTGGGGGCATTTTTTTAAATTGGGGGCAATTGGGGGCAAATGTGTTATTGGAATTTGAAAATGTTTTTTTAATAAGGGGCATTTTTTAATTGGGGGCAATGGGGGCAAATGTGTTAGTGGAATTTAAAAATGTTTTTTAATTGGGGGCATTTTTTTACAATTGGGGGCATAGTTGGGGGCAAAAAATTATTTTGGGATCGAGAAAATCAGCATTTTGGGAATTATATGGACCCCTGCTATATTCTCTTAAAGGGACCAACAGCGTAATTTCAAGGCTATACTTACAAAGATGATTATTTCCGATTTACAACAGTACCCTTGGATTATATTGGATATCAGACTATAATTTTAAAATTTGAAGTTTCTCTACTAAAGTTTCTTGCAAATTTGTACTGCAGGAAAATATATAGCATTCATCAAAATATGTTTTAATCCAAAAGTGACAATATGTTTCACATTAATTCGTCAGATAAAGCTCCTTAAAATTGCGCTTACAGTTACTTTCACATGTAAAATGAATTAGGATAATTTCATCTTAAAAAAACGTATTTAAATAAGGAGGAAGCTAGGCGAAGACGACATCAACGATCTCGACCAGAATCCGGGGATTTTAATGTTGCTGGACGAGGTAAAGGATATCACTTGATTACATTAAAAAAGAAAAATCCTTAACGCAGTTTCGTAAGAATTGTTAATTGTAAATTGTTTAGTTTATCTCTTTTATTTTATAAAGCATGGGTTCCTTGAAACTTCGGGCCATCAGGCTTTTGTGACATTGAAGTATTTAAAAAACCTGTAAAATGTTCCGCAAATCTTTAGAAAATGGAAAATTATCACTACTTGAAAAAATCCACCCCCCCCCCCCCCCCCCNATAATAACAATAATAGTGATAATAATAATAACTTAATAATAATGACTGTAATGATTAGATATATAATCTATATAATAAAGCAAGACATTCGTATGTATATATATATATGTTGTCTATAGCCGGCCTAACGGCTGGACCGATTTGGCTAAAAAATTTTGCTGAAACTCATGGGTGGCCTGGGGCTTAAAATTAAAAGACTTAAAAAATTAATTTTTTTTTCATTTTTTTTACCACGGCCCTTCAGCTAGTAATATATAAAAAATTAAAATAAAAGTAAATATATTTTAGAAAGAAGCTGGATAGCCTACAAACAGAACAAATTGCTCAAAGACGACCTACAAACGGCCCTGTTAACAGAGAACAGACTGCTCAAAGCCGACATTCAGAAATCGCTGTGATTGAGGATCAAGCTGCTCAAAGACGACAAATAGGAAGTGCCAAACTGGCGCAGCAAACTGAACAAATGAACACTCTTAGGTCAGGGAGCGGAAACTTCGTGTGTGTGTATCTGTACCAAAAGAGTGTGTGTAAAATTTACCGAACCGAAGGTGTGTAGTGTACTGTAGGTATATACAGTTCAGTACAGCCTAGGAAAGTACATTTGTTTATTGTTAATTGTTTACTTAAAAATAAGCTTAATATACTGACATGTAGTATATTATTTATATATTTAAGTCAAATCTATAAGCAAATCTTTCATGCAAAGAAAATAATTTGATTGAGTGTACAATATAAAATACTCGTTATTCATGAGCTTAATCATAATTGACAACATTGTTCTGCAATTTTCTTAACTGTAGTCATGTTGTGTATCTTTACCAAAAGAGTGTATGTAAGGTTTACCGAATTTGTCTGCAAAGCAGTCCGACTGGCTTTCACATGCCAGACTAGCGCCATTTCTTTTACCTTTATTACTATTCCCTGTCTTAGGTCGATTATAATTGTTATTTCTGATTGTTCATGTACAGCCTGACAGGTTTACCCACAACGAATAAGATCACAAATACGACTTTACTCGAATTCCTTGAGTCATTATTCTTACATCTATGGTTCCCTAGATTTTTCTTAGACTAGCTTTTTTTCTTTGTTAAACTGTAGGTTGGATAGCTGGTTTAATAATGCTATACTGTGGGTTGGATAACTGGTTTAATAATGCTATACTGTAGGTTGGATAACTGGTTTAACAATGCTATACTCTAGGTTGGATAACTGGTTTAATAATACTATATACTGTAGGTGGATAACTGGTTTAATAATACTATATACTGTAGGTGGATAACTGGTTTAATAATACTATATACTGTAGGTGGATAACTGGTTTAATAATGCTATACTGTAGGTTGGATAACTGGTTTAATAATACTATACTGTAGGTTGGATAACTGGTTTAATAATGCTATACTGTAGGTTGGATAGCTGATTTAATAATGCTATACTGTAGGTTGGATAGCTGATTTAATAATGCTATACTGTAGGTTGGATAACTGGTTTAATAATGCTATACTGTAGGTTGGATAACTGGTTTAATAATGCTATACTGTAGGTTGGATAACTGGTTTAATAATGCTTTACTGTAGGTTGGATAACTAGTTTAATAATACTATATACTGTAGGTTGGATAACTAGTTTAATAATGCTATACTGTAGGTTGGATAGCTGGTTTAATAATACTATACTGTAGGTTGGATAACTGGTTTAATAATGCTATACTGTAGGTTGGATAACTAGTTTAATAATACTATACTGTAGGTTGGATAACTGGTTTAATAATACTATATACTGTAGGTTGGATAACTGGTTTAATAATACTATACTGTAGGTTGGATAACTGGTTTAATAATGCTATACTGTAGGTTGGATAACTGGTTTAATAATGCTATACTGTAGGTTGGATAGCTGGTTTAATAATGCTATACTGTAGGTTGGATAGCTGATTTAATAATGCTATACTGTAGGTTGGATAACTGGTTTAATAATGCTATACTGTAGGTTGGATAACTGGTTTAATAATGCTTTACTGTAGGTTGGATAACTGGTTTAATAATGCTCCTGAAGAAAGCCCTGATCAAGAACAAAATGTGTTCAAGAATGAGATTAAAGAAAGTATGCAACTTGAGGTAAAAAATTATTGCTTTTTAAAAATATTTGACAAGTTTTGATAAAAAATATCTAGTTTAATATGCATAAGAAAAAAAACTTTTTCACAGTGAGTGAGAACTCATTGATGATATTTTTCGGGGACATATAGAGTGGATTTTGTTCAGGATGTTGAAAGTTCATTAGCTGGGAATCATGAACTCGATATTAGACCTCAAAGCACTTCCGCCAGGCAGAGAAAAATTTTAAAGGTTAGAATTATGAAATGTAGAAAATTTCTAAATGTTAGAATTATAATATATATATTTTATATAATATACTAGCTGAAGGGCCCGGCGTTGCCAGTGGAATTTCTATTTTATTAAAATTTAGAAAAAATACCCCAGGATACCCGTAAGCGTCCCCAATACAAATTCAGCCCATTCGTTCCAGTCGTTTGGCCGGTTATAGGGAACATTTATACGATTGTCCTGTTTTATTATAAAGAATATTATAAATTCTTTTTGGGTTACCTAGCATTTAATCATTTCGCTGTTACCCTTATTTATTATTGTTTATTTTTGCTACAAAAGTAAAATATCAATTATACATTTTAAGTTTTATATGACATATACTGATTTGTACCAGAACCAATTAAGCCATAAATGGCTTTCTATTTAATTGGCCGCCATTGAACAAAATAATTGATTAATAAATAATCTAGGGGAGTAAGATTGATTCTGAAAAGTTGAAGAATATCAAAGAACTAATGTTTGGTTCTCAGTACAGGTGGGTAAAATCATATATGCAAAATTTAAAACTTCTGAATTTTGAACTCATTGGTAAAAAGTTTGGATGCAACCAATGCAATGATAGTTTTTTTACAAATCTATGATGTGAAATTTAAAAATTCAAAATATGATGTGAATATTATGCCATCCTTAATAATTAATCTGATATATTGTTGTGCATAAATCTGACAGTTTCTTCATTGTCTCTAGGTAGCACAAATAAGATATTATTCTGAGAGAGATAGAAGTCTATCTTATACAGACGTGAGTCAGACTTACCACTTTATAATCGGAAGTTCACTTAAAATTGCGTTTACAGTCCCTTTAATGAGTTATATGGAATAATTGTTGTGATTAATTAATTCAAGGAAATATAATTGGCTTTGCCATAAACTTAAATATTCTGAGCTGGGAACTTTAGAATGGTGGATATCGGGATTAATGCTTGATCCACTCTTTTTCTTAATCTCCAGATTAAATATTGCTTGTTTACCTCATGAATTTAATCTCCAGATTAATTAACAGATCGGGATTTAGGATATCACATTCTAAAGTTTTCAGCTCTGATCTCATACACTGATAGTTAGACTATTTGATTCATCATAATATAAATAGGTACAAGGAATTAAAAAATCGGAGTTTGGTGGGAAAAACTCAGTTCTAAAAAATAGAAAAATAGTTAGAAAAAACTAAATTTTTGGACCCCGACCTGTTATGGTCTTTTGTGACGTGTGTTTTATGGACTTTAGTATCAATTATATTTGAAGAAAACCCTGTTGTATTCAGGAGCTATTCTGAGGGTTGGAGGAATCAAGCATTTAGTTTTGAGAATGGAGTTGAGTCTCTTAAGTTCGGTCTTGTTCAGAATAAAGGAGGACCCTGTGGAGTCCTAGCTGTAGTTCAAGCCTTTATTATAAAGGTAGCATTCATGATTTACCAAACTTTAATGGGACTGCTCATGATTTAACAAACGACAATCAATTATTAACTTCACACCATAGGCCTTAGATAAAAAAACATGGTGTCCCACATTATATTAGATCGTTAACGGCTCCAAATTACGATTTTCAGGACTATAACACAGCTACTTTTGGAGCTAACAAGCAACTCAACTACCGTCTTTAACCCACTCGTAGATATTATGGACGCCAGTTCTCTACAGGTTGAATCTATGCCCGCCAAGCCTTCACTACAACTGATCTCTTCAAATGGCCACAGGCCAGCCTTACAACAGTTAGATTATGATGTGGGGAGGGGGCAGATCAGAAATTCACAAACAACTATCTGTGAGTAATGATCAATCATAACCAGAGCTTCTTCTACTCATTTTACGTAAACATGTTGAAAGAGATATGTATGTATCAGTCTCGAATCCCTCTTGCTCGAGACTAGACTTGAGGGGCTGTAAGGGATGAAAGAGGATTTTAAAATCCGCAAATCAGTTGCGTTGGATTCTAAATGCAGAGAAGACCTCCTCTCATTTTTATACACTCGTTATGTATCATGTATTTATATCTAGAAGCAATAAATGTATTTCTAAAATATCTAATAAAAAATAACAAACTTTAACAAATAACATTTCAAATTAAAAAAGTTGCGATTTTTTTATTTTCAATTTGCGCATTTGACTTTGAGTTAGAATAATATTATAAACGGAAATATTTTCATTTAATTCTATTTAAATTGTTGCTGGGAAGTTGCGTTGGAGAAATTGCATGCCAAACACAAATTGAAAGATTAACTAAATAAAATAATTTATAATAATTATTCAGGTGCTCAAAATTGGAAGCTCAATGTTTTCAGTGAACAAGGTAAGAAAAAATATTATGAAAAAAGATAAAAAAATTAAATTATGAAACATTTTGTTTTAATTTTTCAGGGGAAAAGTGTTCTTTTCCCTTCCGATGTAGAACGTAAAAATGCGTTGGCTGCAGCACTCACAGAGATTATATACAACGTTTCCCCGAATAAGGTACAGTTAAAAATTCGACTAATTTGATTTTTTTGCGATGAAAACTTTTGTATTTTTGTGTTTTTTTAATGAAAATAACAGAAACCCTAATTTTCTAAATTATTTTATTTGGTGTCAACTTATAATATGATTTCTAAATTTTTTTTTTAATCTTTACCTCCTTTCTTGCGTTTAATTGTGAATTTTAAAAGAATAAAACTAACAAATTTTGATGATGTATTTACTGGAGAATTTTAGTAAATATACAAAGGGAACAGTTTAAGTGTTGAACGAATGTGATCCTCGTGACTTCGTTTACGTTATGTCCATATAGAATTTTGTAATTTGCAATTTTTAAAAAATTTCTATTTTCTAATGTCTATAGCCGGTCAAACGGCTGCACCGATTGGGCTGAAATTTTGTGTGGACACTCATGGGTGGCCAGGGGGTGTTATAGGCTAAACAAATTTTTTTCAAAATATTTTTTAAATATTTCTTTTCAGCATTTTTTTCACATTTTTTTCACGGGCAACGCCGGACCCCTCAGTTAGCTATAAAATAAAATAAAAGACGACAAAAGTTCTTTCGATAATAAATTTGAGGATAAATGCATTGATTGATCTCTCAGTTAAAGTTATCTCTGCAAGGTTATGTCCAACACGGGATCTATCGACAAATAAATAGGTTAACTCGTAGGTCTGCATATGATGCATGAGATCATTGCTTGATCTAGAGATTTACAATAGTGCTTACTTCTGAGCTGATTGGATAATCCTGATTCCTGATTGATAAATCTGCAAAACTCTATATACATTGTGGACACTTTTGATTTTCTGCTTATTCCTCTTTTGAAGGTATCCGTGCTGTGTTCCGAACGATGAGAGTTTTCTCATTGATTGCGCAAAAAAAGTCTAGGCTTCTAATTGGCTGTTTGGTTTTTGCAATGGACAATATAATTAGTTGCATTCTAACAAAATTTTCCTAGTTATTAATGTAAAATCAAATTAATTTGCTGACTAATAAAAAGAGGAGATAAAGCATTTATCTCGATACCCGCAACTCTAAAGTTTTCAGCTCTGAATATTTGTTATCTTTGTTCAGAATGGTCCGTTCTTTGTTTGCTTAACGGATGGTGGCAGGAATTCAGGAAGCTCCGTGTATCTTCACAAGGACGGGGTCAGTGAGTACATGGTGTACTATAAATTCTCTGACTGTACGGAGATGTACAAGTTTGTACATGAGAACTTGAATTACTATCTGGAGAATGGAAATCATGCGCTGGTGGCGTTCATTTATTCTTGTATTTTAACAAGGTAAAATTTATTCAAATTTATAAAATAAAAACATGAAATAATTAAATAACTTTAAAAATTATTTCTAAAAAATGTCCAATTTAAAATTGTTTCTCTTAAAAAACTGTAGCTTTACATTTGTAAACAACAATGCATGAAGATATCGTCGTTTTTTTATCTTCAACTTAAGACTATTTTAACTTACTATTATTCCTAGACAAAGTTTTTCATAAAATATTTCCTAACTTTACCTCCGTCGTTGTCGGGAAGGAATTTTTACCGTATAGTAAATGTCCAAAGCTTCAATTTCATTAATTTATTTTCAACCTTTCATAAAATCTATATTTTATTTTTTATATTTTATCTTTATTTAAAACTGTGAAGTGAGAACACGACTGTTTGACTCAAATTATAATTTTAGATACAGTTTAACCTAGAACTTCGAAGACATCGAAAGAATTTACAAATTGTCGGCCTGACAATTTTTCAATGGGATTTATATTATAATACCTAAATCTTAGGAATTGTAAAAATAAGTGAGTAGCCATTAATTAAAGAAACAGCTTTAAAGAGCACCATATAATTATTCAATTAAAACAATTAAGCATCTGCAGCATTCCATTATCAGTAGAGGTTAAGAATACGACATTTTATAAAATTCTTTTAATGTCTCCTAGGTTCTGGGTTGAAGTGTACCTATACGATACAAAAATTTGCTATTGAACAACATCTAATAAAAATATAAGATTGCTGAAATGTCGTTTTTATAATCTGCATAACCAGAGTAAGTACGGAATACTCCAGTTAAATGTGTACATAAACCATGCCCCGTGGCAGTCCTGAGTTGTACACACACACGTTAGATGATTGTATCTAGTGTTGTAAATAGTTTTGAATCAAACTTCCAAAATTTTAGAACGGAGTCTAAAACTAAAGAATGAAAAGTTCCGACATAAATTTTAAGTTTCAGTTAAGTTAAGTGCCACTTCTGACTTAATTTTAACCTGAAAACATTTTCTATTGATACATTATGCCAAATTTTTACTCTGAAATAAAATAAAAACAAACAACGAATAAAAAACGCACCAACGTCAGTCACATCAGTAATTGGATTCTAATTAAATAGAGGAGTAGAAATAGTTCGATCCGATTTTGATTCTTCTGAAGGAACACTTCTAGCAGCGCACAACTACTGTACACAAGGTACACTACTTTAATATGTACAATTACTGTACACAAGGTACACTATTTTAATATGTACTACTACTGTACAAAAGGTACACTATTTTACCTATACTGCTGCTGTATACAAGGTACACTATTTTATCTGTACAACTACTGTACACAAGGTACACTATTTTTATATGTACTACTACTGTAGACAAGGTACACTATTTTAACATGTACAACTACTGTACACAAGGTACACTATTTTAACATGTACTACTACTGTACACAAGCTACACTATTTTACCTGTACTGCTGCTGTATACAAGGTACACTATTTTATCTGTACAACTACTGTACACAAGGTACACTATTTTACCTGTAATGCTGCTGTACACAAGGTACACTATTTTAGCTGTACAACTACTGTACACAAATTAAACTACTTTAATATGTACAACTACTGTACACAAGGTACACTACTTTAATATGTACAACTACTGTACACAAGGTACACTACTTTAATATGTACACAAGGTAAACTATTTTACCTGTAAAACTACTGTACACAAGGTACACTATTTTAACATGTACAACTACAGTAGACAAGGTACACTATTTTAATATGTACAACTACTGTACACAAGGTACACTATTTTAATATGTACACAAGGTACACTATTTTACCTGAACTGAACTACTGTACACAAGGTACACTATTTTAACATGTACAACTACAGTAGACAAGGTACACTATTTTAATATGTACAACTACTGTACACAAGGTACACTATTTTAATATGTACAACTAATGTACACAAGGTACACTATTTTGACTGTACAACTACTGTACACAAGGTACACCATTTTATATGTACAACTACTGTACACAAGGAACACTATTTTATATGTACTACTACTGTACACAAGGTACACTACTTTAATATGTACAACTACTGTACACAAGGTACACTATTTTAATATGTACTACTACTGTACACAAGGTACACTATTTTACCTGAACTGCTGCTGTATACAAGGAACACTATTTTATATGTACTACTACTGTACACAAGGTACACTACTTTAATTGTACAACTACTGTACACAAGGTACACTATTTTAATATGTACTACTACTGTACACAAGGTACACTATTTTACCTGAACTGCTGCTGTATACAAGGTACACTATTTTATCTGTACAACTACTGTACACAAGGTACACTATTTTAATATGTACTACTACTGTAGACAAGGTACACTATTTTAACATGTACAACTACTGTACACAAGGTACACTATTTTACCTGTACTGCTGCTGTATACAAGGTACACTATTTTAACATATACAACTACTGTAGACAAGGTACACTATTTTAACATGAACTACTACTGTACACAAGGTACACTATTTTACCTGTACTGCTGCTGTATACAAGGTACACTATTTTAGCTGTACAACTACTGTACACAAATTAAACTACTTTAATATGTACAACTACTGTACAAAAGGTACACTACTGTAATATGTACAACTACTGTACACAAGGTACACTACTTTAATATGTACACAAGGTACACTATTTTACCTGTAAAACTACTGTACACAAGGTACACTATTTCAACATGTACAACTACAGTAGACAAGGTACACTATTTTAATATGTACAACTACTGTACACAAGGTACACTATTTTAATATGTACAGCTACTGTGCACAAGGTACACTATTTTAACTGTACAGCTACTGTACACAAGGTACACTATTTTATATGTACAACTACTGTACACAAGGTACACTTTTTTAACTGTACAGCTACTGTACACAAGGTACATTATTTTAATATGTACAACTATTGTGCACAAGGTACACTATTTTAACTGTACAGCTACTGTACACAAGGTACATTATTTTAATATGTACAACTATTGTGCACAAGGTACACTATTTTAACTGTACAGCTACTGTACACAAGGTACACTATTTTAATATGTACAACTACTGTACACAAGGTACTCTATTTTAACTGTACAGCTACTATACACAAGGTACACTATTTTAGCTGTACAACTACTGTACACAAGGTACACTATTTTATATGTACTACTACTGTACACAAGGTACACTATTTTAATATGTACAACTACTGTACACAAGGTACACTACTTTAATATGCACAACTACTGTACACAAGGTACACTACTCTAATATGTACAACTACTGTACACAAGGTACACTATTTTATCTGTACTATTACTGTATACAAGGTAAACTATTTTATCTGTACAACTAATGTACACAATGTACACTATTTTATCTTTACACCTACTGTACACAAGGTGCACTATTTTACCTGTACTGCTGCTGTACACAAGGTACACTATTTTATCTGTACAACTACTGTACACAAGGTATTCTATTTTATCTGTACACCTACTGTACACAAGGTGCACTATTTTACCTGTACTGCTGCTGTACACAAGGTACACTATTTTATCTGTACAACTACTGTACACAAGGTACACTATTTTATCTGTACAACTACTGTACACAAGGTACATTATTTTATCCGTACTACTACTGTATACAAGGTACACTATTTTATCTGTATAACTACTGTACACAAGGTACACTATTTTACCTGTACTACTATTGTATACAAGGTACACTATTTTATCTGTACAACTACTGTACACAAGGTACATTATTTTATCCGTACTACTACTACAAGGTACACTATTTTATCTGTATAACTACTGTACACAAGGTACACTATTTTACCTGTACTACTATTGTATACAAGGTACACTATTTTATCTGTACAACTACTGTACACAAGGTACACTATTTTATCTGTACAACTACTGCACACAACTCACAAGGTATACTATTTTAACATGTACACCTACTTTACACAAGGTACACTATTTTAAGATGTATACCTACTTTACACAAGGTACACTATTTTACCTGTACTACTGCTGTACACAAGGTACACTATTTTGTCTGTACAACTGCTGTACACAAGGTATACTATTTTAACTGTTCAACTACTGTACACAATTTATACTATTTCAACTGAACAACTAATGCACACAATGTACACTATTTTAACTGTACAACTACAGTACACAAGGTACACTAATTTAACTATACAACTACTGTATAAAAGGTACACTATTTTAAATGTGCAACTACTGTACACAAGGTGCAATATTTTAACTGTACAACTACTGTATACAATTTACAGGGTACATTATTTTAACTTTACAACTACTGTACACTAGGTACATTATTTTAACTATAAAATTACTGTACACAATTTACAGGGTACATTATTTCAACTGTACAAAAACTGTAAACATCTGTAAAGTTTTTTTATTTCACAACGCAACATAAACTGTAAACTGTTTATTGCACAACTAATATATTGTTTTTATTGTACAGTTTTTAATGTACAGTTTTTAATGTACAGTTTTTAATGTACAGTTTTTAATGTACAGTTTTTAATGTACAGTTTTAAATGTAGAGTTTTTATGTACAGTTTTTAATGTACAGTTTTTATTGTACATTTTTTAATGTACAGTTTTTACTGTACAGTTTGTAATGTACAGTTTTTAATGACCAGTTTTTAATGTACAGTTTTTATTGTACAGTTTTTTATGTACACAACTTTAATACATTACACAAGGTACACTTTTCAATTGTTTAAATACTGAATACATATTAAAAGATGCTCAAGTATTAACGTTACTTTTATTCATTTTTCGTATGAGCTTTAACTTTAAGTTATAGCTGCAGTGTTTTAAACAATACTGCCTTAAATTCCATGCAGTTTTTGATACAAACGAAAAAATTTGCTTTGTAACGTCAAAAAAAAGGTTTACCGTTTAATAAAAAAATAATAATTTTCCAGAGTTGGTGAATCTGCTTCTAATCGGAGAAGCAGTATCTAATGTTTTTGACAATACTGTACACTTCTCAGAGGAAATCATTTTAAAGGTAAACAACATTTTCAAAAATGTACACTATTAAAAATATCCACACTTCACGGTTAAAAAATCATTTTGTTCGAAATTACGAACCAAATCTTATTTCTCACAAATCCCTAACAATCTCTTTGTAATTTAGAACAAAATTTTCGTCTTATCGACTTACAATAGTTCGGATTTTTTCATTAATCCGTAAAAACGTTTTGTTCCGTTTTGTTAACACATTATTTTTCATAGTCATATATACTACCAAAATATTATAGGTTTAAATTAAAACAGACGCAAATAAACTCGTTCACAATAACTCTGAGGCAGAATCCCAGAGGAGTTTTGCGTAGTCGGTATAAAACAGGCTCTCTCTCTGTCTTGTAATTCTACGCCGACTTCGCGAAATTCCTCTGGGCTTATGCCTCAGGGTTATTATGACTGAAATTCATTGAAATCTTGAAAAGACGACATCTGGTGACATATCTGTTAATTTAATTAATTTATGCTTAGGGGTTATCAGGAAAAAATGAAGTTTTTAATGAGTTATTTAATAAATGAATTTTAATGATTCTTAACATTGATTGTTCGAGCAAAATATTTAGTGATTCTTGCCGTTAATTTTACAACATTTCCGTTCTTCGTTACCTTTCATAGGGGTTATAAACAGATTTTATTTCAGGGAGTTAAGCGAAAACCTTTCATAGGGGTAATAAACAGATTTTATTTCAGGGAGTTAAGCGAAAACCTTTCATAAGGGGTAATAAACAGATTTTATTTTAGGGAGTTAAGCAGAAACCTTTCATAGGGGTTATAATAAATAGATTTTATTTTAGGGAGTTAAGCGAAAACCCTTCATAGGGGGTAAGAAACAGATTTTATTTTAGGGAGTTAAGCAAAAACCTTTCATAGGGGTTATAATAAACAGATTTTATTTTAGGGAGTTAAGCGAAAAAGTGCAATCGGATTTCTGTCATTATTTGAACATTACAAGGAATGGTTGAAAAATGTGAATTAAATGCATTTTTTTAGTACAGTGCTTTTTTTTTTCAAATCTTAGAAGACATGGATTTGTGTAGTAAAATTTTTAATTTGACCCCCCTTCCTCAAAGGCTTAATATTTGTTAGTATATTTTTTTTTGTTCTAGAAACTTCTTATTGAATATACAGAATTAACAAGATTAAATCTAGCATTTTTTGGGGGTATTTTTTATGATTTATATTTAATTTTTAACCCCTGTGTAAGTCTGTTGAGGTTGGAAAGAACCTAAAGGATCCCTGGAACCCTATCTGGGTAATCTGCTCAGAATCTCACTTCTCTATACTCTTCAATACAGATACACATGCAGACAGGGTAAGCAGACAACTGGGTCAACTTTAAAGGGTCGCAACGGCTGGACCTTTAGTTGTTACCCACGCTGTACTGTCAGTGTACTGCAGTAAAGCTTAGTTTGGGGTCCCCAGCCTATAAATTTCTGTATATCTAACCATAACATTTCAGAACCGTACAGCATCCTTGTTTAAACCTTAAGACTAAAGGAGCAATTGACAAATTTTGAATCAATACCTAAGTAACATTACAATCTTCATATGTAACTATCCCAATTTAATCCTATCATGCATTTAAGCCCTTCATGTCCCTTTTAGTCTGGTTTTGAGATTAATAGAACTTAGGCCTAATCTTTTAATTTTGCTATAAAAAATATGTATTATATACAAACTTAATTACAATGGACCCATAAAACCGTGAAAAATTTCCCGTTTTTAGAAAAAAATATATGTCTCTCTCTCTTTCATTCTTGCCTTAAAATTGTATTCTAAAGTAAAACATTTAAATAATAAAATTTTCTATATATATTAAAAAATCAGAGATTTCTAAAGTAATTTCTATCTATCTTAATGTTTTTTTAAATCAGTTCAAAATCAAATTTGACTATCACGATTGGGGGGTGGTTTTTTCTAAATAACTTAAAAGCGGTTTACATTCGAAAACTAAAACTTCTTAACTTTTTCAACTTTATAGCTGAGAACAAATTTTGATAAAAACATATTTTTTCGATGCATAGGGTACGGTGAAGGTCAAACGGCGGGTCCGTGTTTCAAAAAAATCAGAAATGTACAGGGCTAACATTTATATATTGGAAAATTCCTTGAGAAATGGATATAATAACATGTGTCACATGTTATTATATTTGTCATAAGTAAAAATAACTATTTTTGAAAAATTTAGTTAGAAATCTAATTTTTTATGAGTAGGACTTGAAAGCTAGACTAGGGACATGAATCACACTTTCCTATCTCAACTCTAAGGGCAAAATCATGATGGGGGGGGGGGTTGCTTTCCACTTTATACAAAAATACCCCAACCGGGTTGAAGTGGCGCACCCGGCCCGCGACCTTTGGTTTTACCTTTAAGGTTGAATATTTCATTAATGCAAGCGGAAAAAATTATTACTCAAAATGTATCGAATTGGGTATCAAAGGTACCATATTGAACCACTTAATTCAGAAACTGTAAAAATCTGTTGATAATTAAACAAATTAGAGGCAAATAACTGATTGTTGGTGAATATAACAAACATTCTGATAGAACAAAAAATGGATTGTATTTTATACCAATTTTGGCTTGTTTTCAAGAATTTGTTTTTGAGTTTTGGATCTTAAAACAACATTTATATAAGACGATTCTGGTGTGTGTTTTCAAATATTTGTAGAATTCACAAGGTATAAAATTAATTTTTAATTTTTTTGTTGACATCATCAGCAGTTCTAGGTCAAGGTTTTAACCAATTTATTTATAGATATTCTTTATTATATTTATTACAGTTTAGTTATAAATATAGTTTTTGTTTAGGCAAAATTTGATTTGTTTTACTACGACGGATTAGGGAGACAGGATGGAATTATAAGGTAAATAAAGGTTTTGATGAAATTACTTTTAATACATTGTACTAGACATATCCATTTTTGTACAGTGAAACCCTTAATAACGAATACATCGGAAGAATTTATCAAATGTCGTCTTGACAATTTTTCAATGAGTTTTATACTATATTACGTAAATTTCAGTATTTGCGAAAATAAATAAATAGCCATGAATATGCGGGAACAGTTTTAAAGAGTTCCATATAATCATTTAATTAAAAAACTAAATATCAGAAAGTGAAAAATACGACATTTGATGAATTCTTTCGATGTATTCGTTATTAAGGGTTTCACTGTAGTACTATAGACATGTCCATCTTTGTAGTGCTAGACATGTCAATCTTTTTAGTGCTAGACATGTCCATCTTTTTAGTGCTAGGCATGTCCATCTTTTTAGTGCTAGACTTGTCCATTTTTGTAGTGCTAGACATGTCCATATGTATACACACTAGGGATTACTTTTATAAAAAAAAAACTTGAATACTTGGTAAATGCTGCTCATGGGGTTGCTTTAAAGAAAGTTCCGTTTGGAAAATAGTCAACTTTAAAAAATGTGCATTGTAAAATTAAATCTTTCTATGTTAGAAATGATCAAAATGTCATTATTATTCAGAAAGAATCTAATTTAGAGATTAATTTTATATTTTGTTTATAGATTGACCGTGAACACTGACGAGGGGGCAGGTGGACCCTTGAACCCCTATCCACTAGAGCACTGTATCAGGTATTGTATCAGAAGGGGGGCAGGTGGGCCCTTGAACCCCTATCCACTAGAGCACTGTATCAGGTATTGAACAGTCGTCACTTAATTTCCATTTTTATTACGACACCCTGTATAAAATATTAATAAAAATGTTATTTAGAACTCGGTGGCCTGGTGCATCTGTAGATTGGAACGGATCAGACCCTCTTTTATAATTTTAAACATCCTACATTGGAAAAAAAAAATTGTTTTAAATTATTTTTACTTAGATTTAAAAATTGGAAACCATCAAAACTATTTGTTTCATCGTACAGTGATATCCACAAAACTTTGGAATGAATCTCGTCTTTGTTTTTTTTGCTATACTTCAGGAAAAATTCTTTGGTAATTTGTAATTGTCGCAACGAATATATCTATAAAATGTTCACTTTTTAAAAAATAGTTTAAATGAAAATTACAACATGTCATAATAATTAATAAAAAAGAAGATGACAAAACCCAAACGTTATTATTTCTTACTGTGGAAATTTCACTGGAGAGAGAAGATATCTGTTAATTAGATCATATCTATGCATTTAAGTATTCTTTCGAGAATTCATTGTTTGTAATGGTTCCGGCCCTGAAGTTGAGAGAAATTTATGTCAGTTCTATCAGACATTTTTCTTTTGAAAAGAAGAGGGAGGCAGATTTAACAGTTCAGTTTTTATTCCAGCAAACTGTGACTTTCAAGTTTTACCAATCAAACATAAACTTGTAATTTTTAGTTCTACTCTTTAGCGTTTTCAATGAAAAACTATTAAAATATAACTCTGTAAATTTAAAGGTTGTTTGCAGTTATCGACCAAAATTCTGTCGGATTAAAATTTAAAATTGTAGAAACCGAACTCATCTAACAAAGAGGTTTATGATTTTTTTCCCCATGATTCTATAACTAAATGTAATTTTTAATTAGCCTTTCACATCGGTTTGGTTTAAACCTTTAAACCTTTGTTTAATTAAGAACTTCATTTAATGATTCGTACACCAGAGAGATTAAAGAATTTAACAGAATTACACAAAAAGGCAAAAAACCCGACGATATCTCCCTCGTTATTACTTGGATAAAGGTTTAAAGGGTACTAATGTAAATAAAATGTGACAGGATAATTGAAAGGTTACTTAAAACGTTTTCAATGTTAAATACAAATTTCAGCCACAACTCACTAAATCAGGGTAGAATTTGGACAACTTTCTGACAATTAATTTAGCAGTTAGTATACCCATTGAACAGATTATTTATATTTTTATTTTTAGAATGATGGTTAACAAACATATGATACATGTCATATTAAAGGAATGTTCTGAAATGTTTAAAGGGTTTCAAAATTCCCAATAACTCCCTTTAACATTTTTTCCAAAGGTTAAATAATATATCTGACCCATCACCTGAAGGTTAACAAAATGTTATGGTAAATAAGTTTGATTACATTTCATCTTTTACATACAGTGATAACCAGAAAACTATAAAATAGGAAGACGACATTTACACTGCACAATTGCTGTGTCTCATGTTCATTGGACTATTTAACCTGTCATAACCTGAGTCTAAAAGTCGACTTCATATTCCAGATTTTTCTAGTTATCACTGTAAAAATATTGGTTAGCTTGCTACAGTTTTACATATATAAATATTAATGGTTTATTTATGAATTTTATACAGGGTTTCCCACAAATTATGAGAATTGAACAACGACTGTAATAAATTTATCAAGACTTTTTTCTTTAATCTTGAATTTTGCAACACTTTTGCAACAATTTAAACTGGTCTTTTCTTGACCAAATCAATGCTGTAGATCGCTTAGATGCTCTTTTACAGGCCAGATTTTACTGTCAAGTCTTAATAATTACTAGTTGAAATACCCGGCGTTGACAATGTAATTTTAAAAACACATTTGAGAAAAAATCTTTTTTTGTTACCCATGGATTTTCTCAAAAAAAATCAGCCTAGTTGGTCCAGCCGTTTGGGCAGAGCATTATTTAGTATTTAAAATGTCATCTTTTGTAGGTACTCCTTTGTATTAAAGTGAAACTTTTACGGGTTTTACCCAACTCTGGATGACCATCTTTCTTGGTTGTTTGGAGCTGAGGCAGTGAGACAATTGTTCTGAGGATAAACTGTCTCGAGCTTTTCCATTCGTTGAACAGGTTCCTTTCTTGTGATTGGATAAACCAGTTTATCTGGGCTTCCTATTGGAGGACTTAACATATCAGCTGATCCTTGAATATTTCAAAATGTTGATAATTTTTAGAAGTTCTTTGGGTATGTAATGATAATTATCAAAAGCAATTTTTTCCTTAAATCAAAATTATATGGTATGTGTTAACGCTTTCAAAACAGGTTAATAGTAAGCTCTTTTTAAAATCAAGTTTTAATCGATTCTTACTTTGATTAGATAATTAACCCTTTTCCAAGAAAAATTGTCAAACTTGTAGGTTCCAATTAGCATTGGATCATTGTGCGTCTTTCACCCCGGATTAACCATATTGAGAAGCATTCGGTTTCTTTTATTTGAAATTAAACGTGCTTTGGTCTATTATAATTAAACAATCTTTGAATTAAATCCACGTTTTCTTTTTAATACATAAAAAAATCCTTGAGTTTCAAAATATTTTTTTGAGGATTTGCTCACCTGGTTTTCTTATGCATCTTGAACAGCTGGCACATGTGAACTCACTTATATCGTCATCATATTTGCTGCGCCTTAGATATATTTTTTTGTGTGTTTAGGGAGTGCCATTTTATTTGCCAGTAAAATTTAACTTATTTAGAATTTAGAAATGTAAAGAAAGGAATTGAGTCTTTGCAACAAACTCTGATTTTCTAATCACTATATCTTTGGAATCGAATGTTGCAGGCCTTAGACATTTCAAACTATGAATTCTGTTAGATCAAATAAGCTGAGTTTGAAATATCAAAGGTTTACAACATCGAGTTCTAAAGATATTGAGGTTTAAAGATTTGATTTTGTTCCAAAGACTCAATTCCTTTGGCTTTTGATTAAATTTGTTGATGTAATGTACAAAGGTTTTTACTATTTTTTGCAAAGGATTTTTTTCTTTCTGGACATTTTAAATCATAACTTGAATCTAAAACTGGGATTCATATTTCACAGTTTTAGGGGGGGAGTTCCTGTATATTTCGGATTATCGATGTGTAAATATGTAAATCTTAAATTAAAAATTTTGCATTTAGTTTTTTTTTTAAGATTATGGAAATCAAGCTGAAATTCTTTTTAAAATTTATTTTTACTTTTTCACAAAAATTAACTTTTCCTAAATCTTTTCAGATCTTCGAGTAAAAAATCCATTTCTCTTTTTCTTCTCTCCAGCTCCTGAACCCTCAGCTCGTATTCATTCTCTTCCTTTTCAACATCCTCCTTTTCCTTCTTCTCTTCTTTTATAATAATTTGTCATTTTGATAAAATCTTAAAGATAACTTGCAATGCAATTATAATTAAAATCAAAATTATGTTCTTTTCAGACTTTTCTTTTTGTAAAATTGTTCGTTAAAGTTATTAAAAAATGACATTTATTTTGTTCTAAATAACTAGTACAACTTTGCAATCTCATAGTTTCTTTAGTTGTTTAGCTTTTAGAAGAAAAAAATGTTTTAACACATTCAATTTTTTTGTGTGATTTTGACCTTTTTAGTTTTTACAAAAAATGTTTTCAATTTTTACCTTGTTCTTTCTTAGATTGGCTTTCATTTTCTTTTTCTTCTACTTCCGAAATATCTCTAAAATAGATTAATTAGAAAAAATTAGATTTTTTCCCGCAATTCAGGAAGTTACCTTAGCTTGTGGATTAACTTCTGAGAACCGTTTTGATGAATATAGTTCTTCCAAAACCTTTCTTCAGCCTAAATATCTTAAATGTTAAACAGCTTTATTCTCAAAAAATAAACATAAGAAAAATTCATTTCACCCTGAAGTAAAATTTTTTCACATAATTTGCATTTTAAAATATAAATTTTTATTTGTTTTTCTCACTTTAACTCACCTTGTGTCTTCCAGATTGGAAGAATTCATCTCCTTTATATCTAATAAAATTAATATTAATATAAAAACTTTAAATTGTTATATAATGAGGAGGAGAGATTTTGTTTATATATTTTAATCATGAAAAGGATTTTATAATTTGTGATTAATTAAAGAAACTAAGTCTTTGCAACAATTTCAAAGTTTATAATCCTTATGTCTTTGCAACCTTATGGTGTAAATCCTAAATATTTCAAACTTTGACTATTTGATCTAACAGAATTCAAAGTTTAAAATATGAAATGTCTATAAGACATCGGGTTGCAGAGATATAACAGGGACTCAAACTTAATTCCATTCAGAAACAATTTTAAGAAGTTCTTCAGTTACTAATTACATATTTTATAATTTATAATTAAAATGAAGAGCTAAATTATTCCACAGTTGTCTGGTTATCACTGTATAAATATTTAAAAATCAAAATTAAGTTTACACTGGATTTTAAAGTAATATTAAATGTACACAAAAAGGATGACAGTAAATTTTTTCCCTAACATATATTTTTGGCTACATATTATAAAAAGTTATCTGATAACAAAATGCAAACAAGAAGCATATGAGCTTTCTTGAAACTAACCCAATTACAGGTTTACGCTATTGAAGTAATCTTATCCCCCTTTATGGACAACTCTGTATAATAATATTAGAATGCAATGTTTAGCTTGTCTGTTTTTATCAAAAAAAAACGTTAAACGGTTCAGCTGACGGGGCCCCATATTTTTGTGGCAAATCACATAAACCCAAGGAGGATTTAAAGTACTAGAGAATTTTGCGTAAAATAATTACAACTTCAACATTTTTTAAAAGTCCATCATTAAAAATAGGAAAATCTGCGATATTTTGTCAATATTTGTAAGAAAGATGTGCTTGACGCTCTCTGCAAAGCCTGGTATATTATTTACCTAAAAACAGGATCATCCTTCCAGAACCCAGCCCAAGTCCACGACATTTTAATTTTTTCACTTCTATAATAATACTACATTTTTTAACAGGTTAAAGGGAGTGTTCGCGAAAAATGAAAGGGGGTATAGGCTTAATGAGATAAAAAAGCGCTTTTGATCGCTTCTAATCTTACTTCTATCTGATGCGTCTATAAGGAGAAAATTGTTAAAAACGACTAATACCGAAGAACGTTGTATCCATACAAATTCAGAAAGATGCAACATACGACTTAGACCATAAAAAAATCTATTTCATTTCAAACAAATCATTCAGATATTACACCCTATGGTCATAGATTATCTTTCGCCACATTTGTATAGAGTTGAATTTTCATTGCTATTATATCATCATTATTATTATTATTATTATTATTATTATTNTACACTCTACACTCTACACTCTACACTCTACACTCTACACTCTACACTCTACACTCTACACTCTACACTCTACACTCTACACTCTACACTCTACACTCTACACTCTACACTCTACACTCTACACTCTACACTCTACACTCTACACTCTACACTCTACACTCTACACTCTACACTCTACACTCTACACTCTACACTCTACACTCTACACTCTACACTTTACACTCAACACTCTACATTCTACACTCTACACTCTACACTCTATGATTGAACTTTCATCAACACAGTGTTTTAAATAAACAATAAATCCTGGAAACAAATTCATTTTATATCTTTAAAAGAAGCTTTTCGCTCATATACTTTTGTGATATATATGTTATAGCTGCCCAAGCGGCTGAACCAAATTAGCTAGATTTTTTAGGAAACCCTAAAGGATAACTTGAGTTTTTCAAAATTCAATGAATAGAATTTCACAGACAACTCGTGGAAAAGACGCATATTTATATATACGTCATGTGTGTGTGTCTGTACCAAAAGAGTGTGTGTAAAGTTTACCGAACCGAGGGTGTGCACTGAAGATATATACAGTACAATACGAATCTCGGTATTTGTACTGTTTAGGAAGTACATTTTGTTTATTGTTAATTGTTTTCTTAAAAATAAGTTTACAATAAAATAGACATTATTCAATCCTAATTATAATTGACAACATTGTTGTGCAATTTCCTTGACTGTAGTCATGTTGTGTGTCTGTTCCAAAAGAGTGTGTGTAAAGTTTACCGAACTTGTCTGCAAAGCATAAACTATATACAAATGTGGCGAAAGATAATCGATGACTATAGGTTGTAATATCTAAATGATTTGTTTGAAATTAAATTGATTTTTTACGGTCTAAGTAGTATGTTGCAATTTTCTCAATTTGTATGGCCGCTAAGTTATTCGGTATGATACGTCTTTAACAATTTTCTCCTTGCAGACGCAACAGATAGAAGTAAGATTAGTAGCGATCAAAAGCGCTTTTTTATCGCATTAAGCCTATACCCCCTTTCATTTTTCGCGAACACTCCCTTTAAGATGTTGGTAATGTAATTATATAATATGATTGTTTATATGTAATATATATGTGTTTACTTGAATTTATAAAATGTATCTTTAATATTGTTGAGGCTGTAGATACAAGCCACGATAGTTGGGGTTTCACGGCCTCACCTACTGCCACTCGGGCATAACAATATCATTGCACATGTCATGCTAACTCTGTGACCCATGTACTCATCAGGGAGGCAGAGGGTTTCAGGGAGGGGTGGTTTCCTGGTAACATTCGTGTTATTGGGATGTCATAATAGATAGATGTAATATGTGTTTACTTGAATTTGTAGAATGTATTTTTAATATTGTTGAATTGAACCATGAAACAAGTATCCTCAACCAATATACAAACCAATAATCTAGGGGGTGCTATACTCGTACTGTTTCTGCTTTAGACATTAACTTAGTTTTATATATTTATGATTCAAGTCAATTTCTGCTTTAAGCTTCAATCCCTTTGAGCTATTTAATAGCTCTTGTTATTATTTCTGCTATATGCATTTCATCTTTCAAGCTATTTATTAGCTATTTCTAACTTTAGGTATGAACTACGTTTCTGTAGCAACATCTAACTTTTGCCTTAAAGGGACTGTAAGGGAAAAATGAAAGGGGGTATAGGCTGAAAGCTAATCATTTTAGCTCTTGATCGCGACCCATGAAAGTTATATCTGATGTTCCTATCTCGAGAAATTGATTTACAACTTTGTCAAATTTATACGAAAATTATTATATATACAATTTTGTATAAAAGTAGTGGGTTTAAGAAGATCAAATTCAGCAAATATGCAACCATTCTGAAAACAATGATATCCCAGAGAAAGCTAATTGTAACTTAGGTTTACTCCAATTCTAATTTTATATTTGTTATTTCTATTTTTTATAGATTCAATTCATAATATTATTAATACGTCCGTATTGCTTGACCAGAAATTCCACCAATGGCAGTGCAGTGCAGTGATACAGGCGGAGACACTTGACCAGTATACTGCTCTGCCATTGGTGATAGTTCTGGTCACGTGTTTTAAGTTTAAGATTTTCTAAATTTTACATATATGAACTTTCGTGTAATTTTAACACAGTTTTATATCAATTTCTCGAGACAGGAACATCAGATAAAACTTTCATGGGTCACGATCAAGAGCTAAAGTGATTAGCTTTCAGCCTATACCCCTTTTCATTTTTCCTTTACAGGCCCTTTAATCAATATTCCTCTATTCTCAGTTAACACACTAATACCTAGTAAGCCAATAATTATATTCTATATGTTGCTTCAACCTGTGAATAAATATCGTTTTAAACACTATAGTTTCAACTCTAAAGAAGAACTCACGAAGATAGTAGCTATACAGGAGTAGTTCTGTTCTAGCTAGTCACTATCACAATAGCACTGAAAAAAAGATCGGTAACCAGTGTACTGTGTACTGTGAACTGTTCTTAGAATTTCTCTGTAATTTTTACAGCATCAAGTTAAAATTTTTTTGGATTTTTTCTACGCCAAGTATTCAGAATCTCTTTTCAAACTCCAAAGTAATCTCCCAAATGGGTGACCAAATCTTAAAATTTTTCTACAATTTATTGAGACAGTATCTAGAATTTGTCTTAAATTTCGAAAGACTATTTCTCCAGAATTTCTCTGAATTTTCACATCACCATTTCTCTAAAATCTTTTCTTTTAAAATTATCTGGAATTGGTGGCATCTGACCAGACCAATCATCTGAATGTCTTGCTCAGGAAATTGTTGGGACCTGCATGCTGTTCCCAATCTGTTCTCAAGATTAAAATTGAGAATTTCTCAAAATCAAGAGACTAGTTTTGGCCGAGGCCTGCTAATAATTCCTCCGTTATTGTTAGCTGTGTCTCAACAAAATACATTACAGCTAAAAATATTCTTTAAGGATGGGTTGAGAAATCACGCAACCTCGAGAATTGGATTCAATAGGTTTTACACTGAACTGACTTAAACCGGAAGCACGGGTGTTGCCATCCACCTTAACTCATGGCAGTGTTGAATGTAGTCGTACCGGTTCGACGTCCACCCATATATCTCAGGGTACCGGTTTGACACCCGCCTACAGATATTTGTGCACTGGTCCGACACCCACCTACTGTACTGCCCCGACACCTTCTACTACAAATCTGTTTGTACCGGATCGACAGGATTCTCTCCAAGATTCTCCGGGCTTTCACAATTTACGCTCAGTTTTACTACAACTGGTGAAGAGAAGTGTGAAGTAGAGTGATTTTATGTTTCGTGAAAAAGTGTGAATTTGTTTAATTAAATGTAGTTAGAAAAAGTGAACAGATTAAGACTTTTAAAGGTAAAATTTAAAATTTAATTAGGAAATTAATGTATCTACGTTTTTAATCTGAGATTCATGATTTTTTTAAAGTTTTCAATAAAAAGTGTTGCAATATATCATTTAATATTATTTTTGCATTTAATATTTATATCGTGAGTAATTTTAATGATTGTTATATTTAGTGATTCTATAATAGTTAAGATCACCATTTTTATCTAAATGCTCATTAAACAGTGCAAAATAAAAGCCTGTAATGCATAAATATTATTTCAACTCATGCTTTGCACAGAACGTTGCCAAGGCATTCGCAATTTATTTTTGCAATCATTGCAATTTAAAAAAGATCTGTTTGGCCTGCTGAATAGAACTGAAGGAATCTGTTGTATTTTAGTTATTCTAGACATTTTTTAAATAAAGTTAATTTCCGAAAAAGATTTGTTTGAAACCTGAGCCTTGAAAACTGACAGTTTTAAACATTAAGGATTTCACAATTTTTTCTTAATCGCAATTTTTAAAACAGTTTTTTTTCAAAGTCAAAGATTTCAAAACTTATGCATCAACGTTTTTATTATTATTTTTCATTAATGGATTATTTTAAAGATTTTTTTCATCATCTCTTAAAATATCCCCCCCCCCCTCTCATACGTATACTATCCTTTTTTAATTTTGTTTCTAAACTTATTAATTCATGCTTATTTTTTACACACTTTTGGTGTTTGGCTTAGCAATTATTTTTGCTGACTGATAAATTAAACATACATGTTATATTTACACTTCCTGTTTTAAATTAATATCACACAAAACTTAGAAGAAAAAAGTATTTTTGAACAAAAAAAAACTAAAATGGAGTGTCTGGCTAGACATGGTAGTTGAGCTGAGAATGCAGTATTATGAAAACACTCCCTTTAACACAACTTTTTTTTATTTAAAAAACTTTCTTAACTGACATCACTTCAAGCTAATAGTGTTTTTCAAAAATGTATGAAATCCTATCAAATCGAATTGAAATAAAATGTTCTTATTTTGACGCTTTTTTGTACGAATTGTGTAACATATTTCTATCGAAGTTTCACAGGAAAAATATATTCTATCTCAAGCTCTTCAGATGTCAAAATATGATTGAACGAGAAAACATGCATTGTCAAAATAAAAAATAAAAATGCTGCCACCTCTAGAGAGATTTGTTTTAATATAGGGTTAAGAGGTTTATTTATGTCTCGTATATATTAAAGATTGTCAGTTTTACCGAGAAAAAAATCTTTGGAATTATGGCTTGATGTCATAGAGTCTATAGCTACTTGTACATAAATGTTTTTGAAACAGATTTCCTATGTTCTACCTTATAGATAAACAAGAAAAATGTCCTCTTTAAAGGATAAATGTCCTGTAGAATAAATGTCTTGTAGAATAAATGTCCTGTCGAATAAATGTCCTGTGGCATAAATGTCCTGTTGTACAAATGTCATGTAGGATTAACGTCCTGTTATAGGATAAATGTCCTGAAGGATAAATGTCCTGAAGGATAAATGTCCTGAAGGATAAATGTCATGTGGAATAAATGTCCTGTTGTACAATGTAGTGTAGGATAAATGGCCTGTTGGATAAATGTCCTGTAGAAAAATGTCCTGTAGAATAAATGTCCTGTAGAATAAATGTCCTGTTATATAATGTACTGTAGCCTTGTAGGATTAATGTCCTGAAGGATAAATTTCCTGTAGAAAAATTTCCTGTAAAATAAATCTCCTTTAGTCATGCCCTGAAGGATAATGTCATGAAGAATAAACGTCTTGAAGGATAAATGTCCTGTATAAAAATGTCCTGTATAAAAATGTCCTGTAAAATTAATGTTCTACGGTTAAATTTGCTAGATAAAATGTCTATTTTAGAAATATCTGAAATGAAAAAATCTGATTATGAAGGGTTTGGTTTACATCTAAAAACAAGTGAAGAAGAAGGCAAAACCTGTAAAATGAATTCTGAAAATTAGTTTTAGATTCTCTGAGCAATGTTTATATTCTACTAACTCTGTTTTGAAGTAAACATCAAAGCATGGCTCAGTGTGGCTCAGTATAAGCTCACCTAAAGGATAGGTTTAAGCTCGCTTATTGAGTATATGAAAGATAAATGGGTTTAAAAACTAGGCCAATTTTTAGATAAAGAAAGCGAAAAGGGATGCAAGCACTGGACTTTTTTAACCCCATAGTTTATAAGCATATACAATAAGTTATTTCGTTTTATTTGTGGTTCGACACCATTATTTAAAAATATAAAGAAACAACCGTAAAATATTCTTTTTTGTTATTGATCTCCATCCACTCCCCTTTCCTCACCACTCCCTCCCCCCCCCTCCCCACCACCTTACACCGACATAACCTCACAGCGGAGCCCCCATAACTGTTTAAATGTAAATTACTTGAACAATATGCTTGACAATTTATAGTTGTATGTTTCATTGTTCTAACAAATAGAGACTTCAAGTTATATACTTAAATACGATATACAAGCCTGTAGTCCACACACCTTTAAAGCTTCAAACTAAAACTAAAGTTCGCTTTTAAACAAATTCAAAGTTTTGAGACGATTCAGTTTAATTTTGAAACAGTCAAGGTTTTGAGACGTTTTAGGAAACCATGAGATGTTTCCCATATTTCAAAAAAAATTTTTTTTGCTTTTTTACTTTTTTTTGCTTTGTACAAATCTGTACTTTGACATAAGATATTATGCCAAATAAAAAGATTAAAACGGTTAAAGGGACTGTAAGCGTAATTTCTTAAGTAACCCTTCTTGCAAAGATGGCAATGACCGATTTACCCCTAAAAGCTTTGTCTGATCAAGTATATGCATGATATATCAATATTTTGAAAACTGAGCTGAAAACTTTAGAATGGGATATCCTTAATCCCGATCGGTTAATTAATCTGGAGATTAATAACATGAGGAGAACAAGCATTTTTTAATCTTGAGATTAAGAAAAAGAGTGGATCAAGCTTTAATCCTGATATCCACCATTCAAAAGTTCCCAGCTCTGATTATTTTTAATTGTGGTTTCTCTACAAAAGTGACTTGCGCATTTTTACTGCAGGAAAACATGTTAGAATTATCTGAATTACACTTTGCAACCAACAAAAACGACAATATCTTCCACTTTCAGATGGAGGTTTCTGAGGTACTGTTGCGAATCGTACATCTTTCCCTGGAGGGTCCCTTTAATATATTCGTTTTAATAATTCGTTTGGGCCTAGGTTAACAACAAATGTTTTTTTTAAAAAAATTTTAACAACAAACATTTTAACAACAAATATTTTAACAACACATATTTTAACAACACATATTTTAACAACGAATATTTTGAGGAAGAATATCTTTACATATGTGTATTGTGCAATTTGAATAGAAGATGGTCGTACATTTTATTTTACATTTGAGTTGAAAACATTTTAAGAATGAATTTAGCATAAATTATATATTTGTCACATAAATAACAAATATTATAAAATGTGTATTGTAAAAAGCAAAAAATATGGACGTCAAAAGCTTTGAACAAAATCCAAGAATATTAAATAAAAATAGGTCTTACAATTTGCATCATTCTTATCCCCCCTCCCCCCCCCCCCATTATTCCTTACATATCAAAACTCATATTATGGTTAAAGGACCAGTAAACGTAATTTCAAGTGACCCTGCATGCAAAACAGATTGTAATGCCTGATTCACAACGGTGCCCTTAAAACCTTTATCTGATCTATAATGTGGAAGATATTGTCGTTTTTTTAATTTTTAAGAATAAAAAGTATGTAGGTCCTTTTTATAAAGATGTCAGTTCTTTTCATATATATGTCAAGTCCTTTTAATAAATATGTCCTTTTTCTGAAAAAATGTCGCCTAGGGTTTTGTAATTTTCAACTGTTGCAAATGCAAAGTGTAAATATAATATCTGTAATTGTAGTATAAACTACCAAGAGGTTATTTATACAAAAAGACGAGTTAGATCTGCCAAACTAATCAGTGCATTTGGTTTGGCTATGTGATGATAATTAAATGACATGTTACACTATTCAACATTTATTTTAAACCAGTTTATACAAAAAGATAATATTACTTGTAGTTGTTCGTCTCGCTGTTGTTGGTGATGGAGGATATTAGCATGTACAAGTAGAGGACATGTATGAGTTCTCTATTGTACAGAGGCTTTTGCACCGAACCCGAGTACTTCCCAAGGCTGTGCAACAATCTCACCCAAGTTACCAAATTCTATAAAGAATATATTAGATGAATAATTTACATCAATTATAAGAAAATATAATACCTAACCCCTCTGAACGGCGCCCTCTGATCTAACAATTCATTTGTAACAAAACTGCATAACAATTTTCTGGACAATTGAATATGATTTATACCTGATAATTGTTTGGGTAATAGATCTAAACTAAACGCGTGGAGCTGGGTTAATCAGATTGTAAACAGTGCAGTACACTGATAAACAACAAAGTAAAAAGGGGCAACCAGTACCCACGGATAATATTTACTGTAATTTTACAATGTATAATACATTATAAACAGTATTAATGTTCAGAGAACTTTGTTAGAAATATTTCCAATCTTAACAATATTTCATAATAAAAGAGAAGACGACGATAATTCCACTGTTTCTTGGTTCTCCGTGCAAAATAAGTTTTACTGCTGCAGGGTGTGAAAGTTAAATGAAAAATGTCCCCCCGAAATAATTAGATATATTGAATATTAGATAGATTTATTTTGCGACGTGTGCAGCATGAGTCGCACAACCATCTGCCCCCGGGGGGGGGGGCGGAATGGGTAGGGGGGAGGGATGACGCTGGGGGGCTATGGGGGGATGACGCCGAACAAAAGGCTGTGAAAGGGGACCCTTCTGTGTTTGGATACTGTTCATTTATCCCCTCCTCCCCATGTTTCCTTGTCATTCCTCCCCCCCCCCTTCACATCTTTAAAGGGGAGGGGAGGGGTTTACCAATACTTAGATTATCATGTGTGTCACGCTT